TGCCCCCGGACTCGCTTCCGCTCGCGCTGTACTCGGCCTCGCTCCCTCTTGCGCCTCTCGGGGACGCGCTCCCCCTCGTGCTGCTCCAGGACTCACCTCCCCTCGCGCTGCTCCGGGACTTGCTAAAAAGAGAGAGGAATTTTAAAAAAAGGAAAAAAAATGTCAGAGCAGAGAAGCTCCAGGTGGAGAGTGCTACCGTGCCGCCATCTTGCTGGGACCTCGTGGCTGAAAGGCTGGGGTTACTGATGGCGAACTGGAGCTTTCAAAACAATTGATGGAATTGTGTTAACTAAGAGTATCAAAGGCTGAATGGAATAAAGATAGAGATGGAGTAAAAATCATCTATGATTTAATTGAATGGTGGGGTAGGTTTAAGGGGGCTGAATGACCTCCTCCTATCCCTTGTGTTCTTCTGGGGTTGAGTGTCATTTTGGGGGACAGTGAACTTTACATTTGTTGCTGTTGCTTGTACGAGTTGGCTGGCTTGAGATTCCACCTTTCCAGGATTGTTTCAAAGTGCTTGAGAAATCAAACCAGGAGAACAACAGTCACAGAAGTAGACCATTCAAACCCATCATACTTGCACAGGTTTTGTTATCTAGTTTGGCTGTGGCACTAGGTTATAATCTTCTGCGTTTTTCCCCAATCCCTGTTCACGATTTCTATCCAAATAACCATCCAACACCCCTCTTGAGTGTCTGAATTGAACCTACCCCTCTACTTCATGTCCAGGCAGTGCATTCCATACTCTAACTACTCACTGAGTGCAAAAGATGTTTCTCACATCATCCTTGCTTCATTTGCACATCACTTTAAATCTAAGCCCCTCTCATTCTTGTTCCTTTTACGAGCAGGAACAGCTTCACCCTTAATTGTGAATCTATTAATTCTAAAAATGTAGGAGCTGGCAAGAAAGACATTTTGATGGGCTGTTGGGAATCATCCAATTAGCTAATGAAGACTGTGTGTGCTTTCCCAATTGAGAAATGGCAGGCTCTGTGATGATTAACATAAAAGCATGAGAAATAGGAGCAGGAGTAGGCCAACTGGCCCATCGAGCCTGCTCCACCATTCAATAAGATCATGGCTGATCTTTTTGTGGACTCAGATCCACCTACCGTCCTGATCACCATAACCCTTAATTCCATTTCTGTTCAAAAATCTATCTTTGCCTTAAAAACATTCAACGAGGTAGCCTCGGCTGCTTCACTGGGCAGGGAATTCCACAGATTCACAACCCTTTGGGTGAAGAAGTTCCTCCTTAACACAGTTCCAAATCTGCTCCCCCTATTTTGAGGCTATGTTGGACAACCAATGGAAACAGGGGTGGTGCAGTTGCGATAGAATGTCTGAACATAGTACCAAAGTACCCACCTCCTACCCTCTCCCTCCACCCCGTTCTCTATGTCCTGGCGCTAATTCCCTTCCCTGTGACTGACGCTGGTTTTGTGTCACTTCCGCAGAAGATGTGATCAGTTTCTCCGGTGATTTTGGCAGCGGAGTCGGCTGGGAGGATGAGGAAGAGAAAGAGGCTGAAGAGACTGCGGAAGAAACAGAGGAAGAAGGTGAAGTTGGAGAGACCGATGACAGAGGTTACATTTGGTAACACAGCACCAGCTGTCCTATAAGCACTGCTAACCACTTGGCACATGTTTTCCATCCTTCATGAGCAACTTTCACTCCTTCTGATTAACTCATCCTCTGTCCTACAGTGTACACTACCAGTTCCCAATGACCACCTTGGCACCAGTGAGTGACACTGGTCACTGCACAGTTGCATATTACTTTATCATGTTTGACACTAAGGGGCATAGAACGTTACCACCAATGAATGGCTAGACTCCCAAGCGATATCGCTGACCCGGACAAATGTACAATTACAATTTTCAAAATCCAGGATGTAGCGCAATCAATCCAGAGAGAGTGAGAGGCATGAGGGACTCATTTCTGTAGGCAAAAGTTGAATATCAATATCGTGAAATAGAGAGGGAAGAGACAGCTGCTTCATTCTAAAGTAATATGTGTGAAGGTTATGGTGTACAATGTCAGCTCCTCACCCCCACTGACCCTTCACCCACTGACCCTTCACCCACTGACCCTTCACCCACTGACCCTTCACCCACTGGCCCCTCACCCAACGTCCCCTCACCCAACTGCCCCATCACTCATTATCCCCTCACCCACTGACCCTTCACTCACTGTCCCCTCACCCAACTGCCCCATCACTCATTACCCCCTCACCCACTGCCCCCTCACCCAACG